TTAAATTTCTGAAATCTTCCCTTAACTTCTAGCCTCCCTAACTCTGTTAATTGTAATAGTACAAGAAAAAGTTAAGAGGCCATTTTTATGTAGAATTGTCTGCTTTACAACTTTTTTTTCTAGCTCTTACCCTTTTTGAGTTATCTTGAAAAAGCCCTTTGTTTTATCTTTTTCCACCCTTGGCCGGGGGTTGAACAAAAAATTACTCTCACTTATTGTTATAATATACCTTAAACTAACTCATATCAAAAATTCAGCCAAGTTGACAAAATTTCGATTTAAAGGCTTAGTTAATTGGACTATTTGTATAGGACGTAGAGATGTTTTAAAATCTTATGAGCTTTGACCTTCATATGCGCAGAAACGTAATTCCGACCGTCGCCTAAATTATTCTACGTCTTAAAAACATTACCCCTATTATTCTAGCGTAAACAAGCCTTTGATCCGAATACAAATATCATAATAAAATGCCCTATTCTTTATTATTTTAATTCAAACAATAAAAATATATATAACGAACGTTCGCCAGTTGACTTTATTGATGCCCGAGCGCCTTAGTTCATGTCTACTTGTAATGATGCACATGGTCTAGTTCTGAGTCAATTTTTTCACAACGTGCTTATTAGAAGAATTATGGGGATACGCCACGCCTTTCGCGCATTTCGAGGCTCGTCAGATATTAAAAGACCTCTACAACACTTTAAAAAACTATTTTCTTTGTTTATTTATAAGCTACATTTTGTCCATTACACTTTTTTTTAATAAAATGCGTAGTTTTTCAATTATTCGCGAAATATACTTTGAAAAATTCCAAGTTTTCAATCGTGAATAACTAAAAAACTATGGATTTCTCGAAAAAATTCTTCGTATATTTTTTGCTCAAAATTTGATTTTGAAAAAAAAACTTCCACCCCCGGTTCAGTTTCAAAGAATTCGGAAGTGAAAAGCTTCAATGACTGTACTAAAACACTAAGCTTCCCTGCCATAATTTCAAAATGGCTTAGTTTCATACAGGGTGGTAGAAATTTAATGTCCAATGCGGTCAACTTTAAACCACCTTGACTTATTTTTTTTAAATGGAAGACCCTCTATATTTTTGCGCAACCTGATGAACTTTGTTCTCTTTCGAATAGTATAATGATCCCCTATACCCATCTCTTCTGGTTTTTAAGGTACTGTTCTTCGTGTAGCCGACGGATATCGCATAATTTCTATATTTACGTACCTATACATATCCTGGGTCCTTCTCCGAAAGGTATATGGGCGTAAGGATGCCTGGCTGCCTTATTTTCTTCCGTAAATCTGTCGGGATCGAATTCGGAAGGATTTTCATAGTATTCTTCGTCGTGGTGAATGCCGCGAATAGGAATGATGACCATGGTGCCCTTCTCTATGACAGCCTGTTCTCCCGGCACCTTGTAATCCTGTGCGCATATTCTGGTGACAAAGGAGCACGGTGAGTACATCCTGAGGGTTTCTAAAACGAGAAACGCCAAGTTAAAATCGGGATTCATTTTTGTTCATATTTCAATCAAAGCAACTTGATAAATAAAAATAAATGGTTACAGTTACACTAAAACCGCTGTATCTTTTCCATTGCGTCACAAGAAATATTCGTATGAACTACGAAAAATCCTAGTCAAATTAGTCACTGTTTTTATTTAATTGAAATGTACAGGGTGTCTCAAGCTAGATAGTGTGGGCCTATGTGAGGGTACAAAAATTTTTAATAAAATTTGGTGTTAAATGGCATTTCAATCGAAAATTTTACACCTGTCATTTTAAGCCAATTACATACTGTAATTTCGACAGTTGGCCATGGCAACCTTCAAATTTTTCGGAAATTTTTTTCCTCCTGCACCTAGGCAAACAAAATTAATAAGTGGAATTTTTTTTGACAGCTATCATATGGTTCAAAAATCAGTACCTATCCAGAATTTTGCTTTGTAATGTTTTTATTTATTTTAAAATAATAAATAGATAGAAATAATTATTTACCAAATATTTGTTCCGAGATTTCTTCTATTAACGCTAAATGTTTTTGAAATTCTGGCTGGAACTCTTCTCTTCGCAACGGAGAGTAACGAGGAGCATAATTATTACCTTTGTTTTTCATCTGCATCAGATGTCTGTGTTTCATAAAGTATATGTGATAATTTGATGAAGTTTTGTTCTGCTGAGCCCTGGTCTTACGTAAAAAAGATGGTATATCTTCCTCCAAAATCTTTTGAATAGCTGCGAAAAGGTTTTCTTGATGCGGACTGATTCCAGTTTTTTTCAGTAAATATGGCAAATACTTTAAATTTTTATGAGACATAAGAATGTCCCCTATTTTGGTGCAAGAATTACATATACTATAAGGTTTTAAATTAGTTTCTTGGTTGTTCACTGCCATCATTTAATTGTAAACAATTCGAACCTAGAGAAAATGACTGTCAACGTGACGCATAGCGAAGACGATTTTGACATCACAAGCCTAAGCCTACTTGATTGCAGTTATGATTTTTTAAAAATCGTTGATATATTGCCATAGACATTGGTTTTCCACAAAAACTTACTTTCCTTCTATTTTAGTAATACTAAGTGAATTGTATTGCAAAGATCAATATTTAAATTCAAAAATTAAATGCCGTTTTTATTACTAAAGTGAAAGGAATCTGTTTTTTTATGTTTTAATAAGAATCATTGATAAACTGCCATAGACATCACTTTTCTACAAACACTTACTTTCCTTCCATTTTAGTAATACTGAGTGAATTGTGTTGCAAAGATAGATATTTAAATTCAAAAATTAAATGCCGTTTTTATTACTAATGTGAAAGAAATGTGTTTTTTATGGTTTAATAAGAATCATTGATAAACTGCCATAGACATCACTTTTCTACAAAAACTTACTTTCCTTCCATTTTAGTAATATTAAGTGAATTGTGTTGCAAAGGTAAATATTTGTATTCAAAAATAATCATCAGAATTTTTCTCTTTCATGTTAAACGCATAATCTTCAAAAATTGATGCCAATGCAGTCATCGATATTGTTGGATCTTAAAAATTGTAGGATCTTTCCGCACAAAATCTAGAAACTGCCTCCATACGTTTAATTTCGACTGCTTCGTATTTTGGGGAGTTAAATTTGCCACTTCTGCTTTTATGTTTTCGGAATTTTCATTTCCAAAACGAGCCATTTTTTAATTTAAAAACAATGTCTACCTGTCACGTCCTTGAATTAATGTCCGGAAATTATTCCTCAATCACGCATTTTTCTAGAAAATGCGTTCCTTCGGAAAAATTTCCGGAAATAATTCAAGCACTAGGGAGATTATAAGCGAAAATATTATCTTTGGGATTTGACAGAAACGACTAATGACGTCATCAATTATATTTTTTCCACAAACATACCCAAATTATTTTCCTGTTAAAAAGCTCTTTTCTTTCTAATAAACTTTTATTAGAGAAATTTTTCTGTATTTCTTCCCGGTTAAAAGTTTAAAGCAATATAGTCCTAAAGAGTTACAAAAGAAATACCACCTAAAAATCACATTAGCGGTGGAAAGATCAAGTAGTCGTTGGAAAATAATTGAATGTTCATTGTTTAAAGTTGAAGAAGAAAAAATCAGGCATCGGATGAAAATGAGTGCCCAAAGGCACCATTGCACCGGCTGCTGTGTACGATAGTTGAAGTTAAAAAATAGTTATTTATGGTAGAGGTGTTTCAAAATCTTATGAGTTATGAGCTTTGACCTTCATATGCGCAGAAACATAATTCCGACCTTCGCCTAAATTATTCTACGTCCTAAAAACATTACACAGTCACATCACACATCACAGTCTATCTCGAGCTCTCGTAGCGTAAACAAGCCTTTGCTCCGATTACAAATATCATAATAAAATGCCCTCATTTTACTCTTACCATCAATAACTTGCTTCAAATATTTCAATTCGCCCAGCGAATCGTACGTTATCTCTCCACTGTACTTCGCTAACACTCGTTCTATCTCCTCCCTGACCTTTTCTTGAATGTTCTGATGGGTGGCTAACTCGAACAAGGCAAAGGTCATAGTGATGGAGCTGGTTTCATAACCAGCTATAAAGAAGACGAAGCTTTGGGCTGCTACTTCGTCCATCGTCAGTGTCTTACCATCGCCTACAACATAATACAGTAGTGTACTAACAAAATTCATGTTACTTCTCAGTTTTATAGAAACAAGGCTTGTCTGGCTCAATTGCTCCATTTTAATCCATTCAGTTGTGTCGTGTCCCATCCTCAATCAAACGCACTTACCTTGATATCCACTGGCTTGAGCATCTTTATTATTCTTAATGTTGATGAGTAGTTGCAGAAAATCATCTCTGGTGTCGCTGTTCTTCTCCCTGTAACCGACCGTATCGTATATGACCTTCAAGAAGAAATCGCTCACGTCTTTCGGGAGCATACGGAGGCCTAATAGTGCAGATATGTGCGGAAAGTTGAAACAGAATGCTTGTTTTAAGTTACCAAACCTGGATCTCTCTAGAACCTTGGCTGCGTACTGTCTGAAAGAAGAATCTGGATCCTTGAAACTGTTGCAGTTCAAGCCAAAGGCGCAGGAACCGATGACGTCGGTTGTGTAGTTTCCTAAACCAAAAAGGAATACTTGGTATAGTACTGGAAAAAATTAAATAAAAGATGTTCATGAATTTTATAGTGATCTTCCAAATGCTATATCTCCATGAAAAATGGTCGTATAAACAGACAAGCGTTTTGAAGCTTTAAGTCTCTAGTTTTAAAATCTTTAGACAAAACTTTTTTGCGCTACGATTACCCAGCAAACAAAAGAAATACAAAAATTTCGTACAGATTCATGTCCGTTCAGTCGGTACCTATCTGTTTCGGGATGTTTTATATAGTAATGTTAATTTTTGTTGGGCATAGTTCTAATATTATGTAGAATAATAATTGAGACATGCGCCCGCTGAAAAAGTTGTGCATAAATGTTAGCGTAAGAAAATGTAAAAAAAATCGAAAAGGCACATTTTTCTCCCTTCTTTCATGTATAACTCGGAGAATATTGATATTAGAGGTAATAGTCAAAGGAAAAAAGTTTCGTTTTGAGATTCTCTTCAAAATAAAAGCGGTCCGAAATTTTTATATGTATTATTGTTGCTGCAATACAATATAGACCGAAGAAAAATTCGTAAAAAGATCGTTTTTCATGAATTTATTTCGGACCTTTACATTGTGCAAAACCATACTTATCTTATTAACTTCAACGTCACCTGTTACATGAGTGTTGTATAATAAGGAAAAAGTAATATTAACGGTCGGTAGAAGGAAGCACAAAAAGTAGCGCTTAGGTAGGGATTTCGGAAAAGAAGTCTAGAGTGTGGAAGTGAGAATAGCGCAGAGTGAAAAGTAAAACAATCGGTGCACGGTGAAAATATGTAAGTGGTGAAAGATTTTAAAGTGTTTAACCGGTATTAGTTAGCAGGTAATTATTCTCTAAGTACTTTGTTGTTAATCGCTCTATGTAATTTTATGATTGTGATGGTTATAAATGTTTAATGATAATAATTCTTTGTATGTTTAGTCTCTATTGCTTTATGCTCGAGGGCATATATTTTTCTAAGATAAAATTGTTACAATCATTATTATTGATTGCTCATTATTTATTACATGTTAAAATATGTATATATATATATACTGTCGTGACTGCCCAGATATTGCAATAACGACTCCTTTGTTTCACATCTAACTGGTTTTTGTCATGATTACGTTGTTCGAAAAACAANTATATATTGTCGGGACTGCCCAGATATTGCAATAACGACTTCTTTGTTTCACATCTAACTTGTTTTTGTCATGATTACGTTGTTCGAAAAACATAGATATTTCATGATAATAATTCTTTATTTGTTTAGCCTTCATTGTCTTACGCTCAGGGGCGTACAATTATTATTAGCGATTACTCATTATTTATTACATGTTAAAATATGTACGTATATTGTCGTGACTGCCCAGATATTGCAATAACGACTCCTTTGTATCACATCTAACTCGTTTTGCCATGATTACATTGTTCGAAAAACAAATAATAAACCGTTTCTTGTGCTCACTTTATGTCATACGCATATGAGAGCCTTGTTGAATTTACTAACATTTTCGCCCGTAAGGAATGAATCTGTAAAAAGCATAATTGAATACAAAAAAAAAAAGGAATTGCTCTGGATTGCCTTCCGTAGGGGACTCCAGTACCTTACTTATTATTATTGTTATTATGGTTATTGTTATTGTTGTTATTATTGTTGTTGTTGTTTAAAAAGAATTGCTAAACAGATCTTCCGAAATCTCAACCCATAGCTGGATTGCCTCCCGACTGGACTCCAGTATCATCCGGCTCTGCCGGCTAACTAACATCAAATTTCTTCGGTTTTACTTGGAAGTGTGTATGGGGAATCGGAGTGAGGTGACATTTAGTGACACATTAAATGAGTCGGGCGTTGATTATCATTAGCAAATGATCCTAATTTATGCCTTTTGGTTAGCGGTTGTTTTGTATTTATATTTGGGTGATAAGAGCAACGATCGTGGGTTTCTCTGCCATGCTCTTTCCCCACAGGAGCTCTAGGTGAGCCTGGTACTCTCATTTATGTTAAATGGTTGTTAATGTTTTCGTTGTTCTTTCTATTTGTCACATGTTTAATTTGAGTACTGTTATACGTAAATAAAAAAAAAATCTATTCGAATTTTAAGATGTCGATTCAAAAAATTTTTCAATTGAGATTTATATGCAAAATAAAGATTCTTAAATAAATTCTTAAACAAATTCTTAAATATGATTGTTCATTTCAAGGTTACCATTTATGTTGAATATATTATTTCTCGAATACAAAAAACGATGTACAAATTGGTATTTAAAATAAATTAGAAATTAAGTCTCTTTCATTGACAGCCTTATTTTAAAATATAAGGCAAATTTTTTATTGACATAAATTGAAATACGTTTTATAATAAAATCATTTTTTTTTCTAATAAAAAAAATTTTGTTCTAATTTAAGTTTCTTCGACTGAGAAGTTATGTCTGTAGAAATTTTTGTAGAAGCTTCGTCAAACACATATTTTAAATTTTCTTTCCTCTTTATCCGTATCATCTGTAACTGTATCAATCCTACGGAAAAGAATTATTATTTATTTTATTTATTCACTATTCGACTTATGTTTATAGCAATACTGTACAAAAATAAAGTTTTGGGTCAAACAATGAGATAGTTTTTTTTGTATTTTTTCCTTATAGTCCAGTCATTATAGACATGGAATCAGTCTGTTCCGGGAAAAAAATACTATTAGAAGTTTTTCTGCGGAGTATTGTTCGGAAATGTGTTATAAATAAAATATCAAAAAATCAACTCGAGACTAGTTGGGAAACTTTATTTAAACAATGGGCAAAGTTATGGAAAAGTGGTTTTTTAACTCGCGTAAAAAAACTATTATTCATAGCGAAAAGAGGTTTATACAAAAAAGGTAGGTATTAAATAAACCTTTAAAATGAGACAAGTCTCATTAAATTCGGATAATTTGTTTATGCGCAAGCGCTCAAAAATGGTCGAAAATGGCCGTTTTTCTTCAATTGCTAATAATTAGTGCAATTTTCATCGTAGACACTTGTAATTCAGGATTTTTGAGGCTTTTTACTTAAATTGTTAAGATAGGTAATTATTAAAAAATAAAATAGTAACCTCTATACTTTAATTTTCTTCGAATTAAAAAAAAATCGTTGTTGTAAGTTGATTAGAAGCTGATATAATTGTTTTTTTATTTAATCGCAGTGACCTTAATTATTAATATTAAGAGCCGATACGTTCTATTACTTGATCTAGCGAACGAGTGGGGAGAGCGAGGCGGAGCATGCGCGTTTAACAATTTAATAAATATTAACATTTTTTCAAAGTCATTTTTAAACAAATTAAATTTGAAAAATTAAATTATCAGTAAATGCATATGTCAATATAACTATTTAGGTATAAAAACAACTAATGATTGAAACCCTACAACGCCTGTGAGCTTGGGAAAAATGAATTGAAAATAGCATCTTCTTAGATAATAATAAATTCCGCCAACGCCAAGCTAATGAAGCTTTTGGGCTGAAATTTTTACCACTTATTAAGGGTGCAAAAAGCCTCAAACATCCTGAATTACAAGTGTCTGCGATGAAAATTGCATGAATTATTAGCAGTTGAAGAAAGCGGACATTTTCGACCATTTTTGAGCTCTTGCGCATAAACAAATTATCGGAATTTAATCGGACTTGTTTTATTTTACAGATTTATTTAATATCTACCTTTTTTGTATAAACCTTTTTTCTCTATGAATAACAGTTTTTTTACGCGAGTCAAAAAACCACTTTTCCATAATTTTGACCATTGTTTTAACAAAGTTTCCCAACTAGTCTCGAGTAGATTTTTTTGATATTTTGTTTATAACACGTTTCGGAATAATATTCCACAGAGAAACTTCTAATAGTATTTTTTTCCCGAAAAAAGGCTATAATTACTGGCCTAGTACAATTAAATGGCGTAATCAGTTGTTGATTTTTTTTTAATTTTAAACAAATTATCAACAATTACTGAAAAATTCATTGCTGCATTTTTTATTTTTTTGCATTTTTGAGCATGTTTTTGAACTGTGATTCTTTTATTTCATCAAAAAGTATATGTCAAAAAAACGATCACCGCCAAAACTGTACGATGATTTTTCCAAGTAGAATTTTTCTTTGACGAAAAAGTTTTTCAGACCGGAAAAAATGAATATCTCGGAAACTTCTTAATTTTCTTATCTACAAAAATTTGAGGTTATTTAAGGCAGAGAAAGGTATACTTTCACCAAGTTTCGTCAAAATTAAATTATTTTTGCGGAAATGAGAAATAAAAAACGGAAAATCAGAAAAAAACTGTTTTTCGCATTTTTCTCGTAAATTTTGAGGTTATGTTAAAAAGTGACTTCTACAAAAGTTATAGATTTTTTTATGATCTACAACTTTTGTATTGGATACTTTTTTGTTTAACGTCAACTTTCGCCAGAAATCCCACTGATACAATTTTTCATAACTTTTCAACCCCCCAAATCAACTCTCCGCCGCCCCTACTCACGCATTTATTTTTTTTCGTTTCTTATAAACCCCTTTAGCATTTCCACTTATAAAAGTCCAGGTAACAATTTTCTTTTTTTTTCCCTCTAAATAAAATTAATTTAAGTTTTAAAACATTCATTTACGAAAAATTGAGCGGACGATGTCTTACCTAACACTGTTTTGAAATCGACGCCTTCCTTGTTGCCGACTTGTTCTTCAAGGTACTTCTCCATAACTGTCCCACATTTGAGCACCGAACCAAACATGGCCTTCATTTTGCCGGACGTAAACGTTGGGGTAAACTTAGTCCTCAAATTCCTCCATTTGGTACCACCGATAGCGAAGAGGTGACAGCCTGTGGAACGAGAAAAGATCAGTTTACTCAGATGGGCACTGAGACAAGGTGGAACACATCGGAACACTATGCGAAATAAACGCCACATTACAATTTCTGTGCAGAGACTACACAAAATTACTTTACTAGATTAAGATGTAGTAAATATTGTGGTTTGAGTTCTTTATGACTCTACCTCTGGAGCATTTGGAACTTACTTAGTGGGTCATCTTTCTCGTTCGTGTAAAAGCCTCTGTCCACGAAGTTGTGGAAGTCCTTCGTCATGACCTGTTTGACCAAGTCCAAGTTCAAGACGACGAACATGGGCCTGGTCATGCCGAACATGCCACAGTACTTCCAACCTAAAGAAAAAAAAAACGAAATATTATACTATAAACAATTTGAAATATCAACAATGGTATAGTTTCCTTCAACCGCAAAGAATAGGTGGCGCAAGCAAATTGGTCTCAACATTTTTGGTCTCACAATGTGTGGTTTCTGATATTGAACATTGGTTCTTCATACTTTCCTACGAATAAAAGGTATTCTTAGTCGACATCGCTAGGAGCATCCGTTTTTGAGAGAAAAGACAATTAGTCCAAGCATTATAGAGAAATGCTTACAGAAATTATTACCTGGACAAAAAAAATATAACCGTATAGAAAATTAAATTTTAAATTGAGTTTCCTGTTCTTTAAACTCGATCCAAAATGGCGAACATGGTCAAAAAAAAATCGCAAAGTTGCAAAAAACGGTTTTTCTAAAATAACTAAAAAAATATAGCACCGATTGAAAAATTTTAATAAAGCGCATCGCTGTAAAATTTTAATTGCGCCCTCATTTTTTTTTTAAATAAAAAAATTATCTCGGCTCCAGAAGGTCGTAGAAAACATTTTTTTTTAAATTCGTGAAAACATGTCAGCAGTTTCTTTCTTTAAAAGTCATTTTCATAAAATAAAAATTGAAATAGTTATTTGAAAAAAACATACCCAAAAAAAGTGCAACTTTTTGAGTCATTTTTTGATCCTTGAAATTAATAAAATCGTAAACATTTTTTAACAGCATGATAATATAACTCTTTACGAGGAAAATAAACTGAAAATCGTCACTGTAGGACTATCCGCTGAGAAGATCTAGCCAATTTTCGAGAGCGCCTTTTTTTCAAAAAAATCGATATATGTATCTCGAAAAATAATTAATATTTTAAAATTTTTCAAAAATGTACTTTTTTGGCTTGCCGCGGGCTATGTTTGCAGTAAATAGCAAATATGGGAACGTAAATGTAAACGAGTTATAGAAGAAGAGAAAAGAGAAGATTTTTAACGGTTTTTTCGATATATCTCGAAAAGTAACAAAGCAATCGATACTTACAAAAAATCAATCGATAGATCTTTTTAAAACCTACTTTCTTATTATAAATTTTTCAATCGGTGCTATATGTTTTTAGTTATTTTAGAAAACCGAGTTTAAAGAACAGGAAAATCAATTTAAAATTTAATTTTCTATACGGCCATATTTTTTTGTCCAGGTAATATTTTCTGCAAAGTTAACGTTCAATGACATGATATAATTTCGATATATTCGAAAAGACGAGTACCTAGTTTTCGTCTCCGTAATCGAAATGGTCGAAATGTAGTTCACGCTGTTAGACAGGAAGATATTTTGGAGAAGTTTGAGGAAAACTCAATTATAGGGAAATGTTGGAGTTTTTACATATTGTTTTCTATTTTACATTATTCGTTTGACTTTATCCCAGTACAAAATTTATTGGAATGTGATTACTTCTTTTTTTTTTCATTTTGTTCATTTTGGGATGTAGTTTTATAAAAAAAATATAAATAATAAATTTTTAGTTTATTGAGATTTGTTTTGGACTTTTAAACAAAAAAGTGTTTTATGAAAGAGTGGCGTTTATTTTCCTTAAAAAAATATTCTCAAAAATTCGTCTTTCAAAACTCAAAACACTAAGAATGTATTATTTTTTATATATTATTAATAAAACTACATCTCCAAATGAAACAAAAAAGTTTATAATGTCTTTAGTTTTAGTTACAGGAATTTTAATTTTTTTTTCCAAAATATTCAAATGCTCATAACTTCTTGAGGGGTGGATATAAAAATTAAAAAAAAATCGTAAATGAATACTAAATAGTACCAAAAAATTTGGAAATTAAAAATGGTCGTGTCATGACCTCAGTGAGTTAGCATATAATGCCCCATATTTTTGTGAAATTGCTCCAGATTTTACTTAAAAATATTTAAAATATAAACTTTTCCAAATTTGACGTCAGAAGTATCAAAAAGTTGAAAATGTTGATTCAAAATGTCCGTTGACACCCGATATCTCGGAAGGTCCAATAAATCTGAAAATGTGGCAACATAGCAAAGGTAGTAGGGCCAACACAGATGAAAAATTTGGAACTTTACGGAACTTCCGGTTATACCGAAAGTCGACATTAACTTTCTTATTTTAAATGGGACACGCTATATATTATTGCATTTTCGGATTCTTCTATTTATTCAATATTCTCTATATCCAGAAGTTATAGATTTTGAATTATTAATTTTTAAAGAAAAAATTTGACAGATGCAAGGAGATGGAGATGATAGTAACTCTTTTCAGAAACGTCTTATCAAGTGCATTTTTGGTACCTGTAAAGGGCATAGGTAACACTAAATCACGGTATACCAACAAATCAAAACATTTAATACTGGGTGCTTCATTTTTGCTGTTACATTTTAATAACTTCAAACAGTTATAAGTTTGTTAACTTAAGGAGGTATATCGGGTTTACTCAAGTGCACAGATGTACTTGAAATTTATATAGCGTATTACCCAGTGCTCAAGATATTTAAAAAAATCGAAAATATTTTTTCAGCTTTAACACTTTGTAGATCGAAAAGGAGCAACATTCGGATAAAGCAAGCTTAATCGCTTTATTTTGAGGTCAGCAACATGCCCTTAAGCTCTGTCTCATTATTAATGAATCACCTATATAATAATTTTATTGTACATAGTTTACACACAATACATTTTTGAACGCGTACGCATCTTTACCCGAATTTGATGCGCAATATCTCCGATGTCCGAGGTTTGTAGGTTCGCAGTGTGTACAACTGCTAGTCAATTATTAGCGCTGTTGCCACATCTACATAGTCTTTATGCGTTCATTAAATATAATTTAAAACTACTTAAATATGATATTTTTATGTTGCTAATTAGTCAATATGTATGCTATATGCATATGAGTAGATTTCTTTGCTATATAACGAGCGTTCAAATAAAAAAGTGGTCAAGTTGGTTCTGAAAATTTGGACGTAGGGCGTAGCGTATAGCAAATGAACTTAAACGTCATCTGTCAAAGCGCTATATCGCCGCTATCATTAAAAAGCGTTTAAAATGGTGTTTTCTCAAGAACAAAAAGTGTTTATCATAGAGTCCTACTTTAGAAATGGACGCAAGATTGATGGAATATGGAAGTATTCTATTGAGGAATGTTTCATAGAATTTCAAAATCAATTTCCCGGCATTGTTGAGTACAAAATTTTTCAAAGTGCAGTTCAGCGTTGTGTTAATGTTTTTCGTGAAACGGGCAGTGTAACAAGAAAAGAAGGAAGCGGCCGACCTAAAAAGCGGACTGAAGAATTAAAAGAAAATGTCCAACAAATAATGGAAAATGCGCCAAGAACTTCTGTACGCGTTTTATCACAAATGGTGGGAGTATCAGTCGGTACCTGCCACACAGTGTTAAAAATAGATTTGCGTTTGTTCTCCTATCGTTTAACTTGTCAGCAAGAACTTCATGAAGTTGATTTTCCGCGACGGGCTGTATTTTGTGAATGGTTTTTAAACAACTACGGTGAACTTCATAATATCACCTTTGTTTCTGATGAAGCCTGGTTTCATTTAAGTGGTTACGTAAACTCGCAGAATATGAGAATGCGGTCTTCTGAAAAACCAGATAACTTTTTTGTGGAGGGCCCTCTACACGCTCAAAAAATTGGAGTTTGGTGTGCTCTCAATCGAAGGAGGATTTATGGACCTATTTTTTTTAATGGTACTCTTACTGCGCAAAGGTATAGAGAAGAAATTATCGCTCCTTTTGTTAACCAGCTGGAAGAAAACGAAATTACAAACTTTTACTTTCAACAAGATGGCGCAAGGGCACATACGGCAGGCGAGACGATGAATATGTTGAGGGAAGTTTTCCAAAATCGACTAATAAGTCTCAATGTTGAACATGAATTTCCACCGAGGTCATGTGATATTACGCCGTGTGATTTCTTTTTGTGGCCTTACCTTAAAAACACTATTTTTGAACTGCCTATTCCTGATTTAAACCATCTGCAGGCTCGACTTATAGACAAGATTCGTGAAATTAGCAATACCCCGAGCATCTTAGAAAATGTCTTTAATTCTTTGAGGAACAGGTGTGAAAAATGCTTGGAACAAGGAGGGGGACACTTTCAGCAGGTGCTTTAATTTATTGTTATAACAAGGAGGGGGACACTTTCCGTAGCTCCTTTAATTGTTTGTTATTGTTATCACGATTATTCTTTAAAATAAAGTTTTATAGTCATTAACGTTATTGAAACTGACAGCTGCTATACAGCTCGTTGAGAAATGAGGTTAAGTTGGTCGCTATAAGCTACTCCCTACGTCCAATGTGTCAGAGCCAACTTCGACCACGTTTTTATTTGAACGCTCGTTAGATAATGTTTATCGTAAATAATTTCAAATGAATTTAATTTTTTCAAATTGGCAACGGGTTTTAGTCCCATAAGAAAAGCATAGGACCCCCCCCCCCCTGCGCTCCTCACTTCCCTCGGACCCCGATATACCTCTTTAAATGGAATATTTTTTTACTCAGTCGTATGCAAATTGAAATTTCCTTTCAAGCCATATAAGCATTGTTAGGGATGCCGTTACTGATTTTAGAATATCTGCAATTTTCTTCGTCTTCTGGATATCGAGCAGCAAATTCTCTACATGTTCTTGAAATTACTTCGTCATTGTCCATAAATAACCAATTAAAATAATCCCCATTAGTATAATTTAAACGAGGCATGGCATGTTTTTATTTCAATTTTCGACAAAAACTGTTAGCGACACAACAATAATTTGACAACTAACTTGGCAAAGTTATTTTTTGGAATGTTTCTGGTCATGGCCAATTTGATAACAGGTCTGATACAAGAAAAATTGTCCTGTATCTCCCTTAGGGGCCGCCACTGACAAAAACTCTACTAAGGTTTTCATCATATTTCGACATGTTTTACATACTCTCCAATTTTGAGTACTTATTTCGTTAACACCTTGTAGAAGGCACACTTTAGCGTTTATGTTATTACTACCATCAAAATGGCAACTAAACAAGTAAATCTCCAAGTGCCAACGTTAAAAAAATCAGTACCTGCATCTCTGGCACGCGCCTGCCTGTAAATCTCTCGAAACCTGTCTCCGATAAACATCGTCCTCTTGCTGGGATTCTCCAGGTTTCCCCAAGGGATGACGGGCTCTACGTAGGGTATATTCCTTCTCTTCCAATACTGAAGTGCCCATACGAAGTAAGCATACACCACCGTTATTATTGCGACGACGAAACCCACACAGTCAACCAAAAAGGAACTTGTTAATAAAGTCATGCTGCCTGCTCAAGGAGTTGGTCAATATTCTGAAAAAGAAGAACGTAGGTATTATTTAATTTTTAATTAACGTTTGCAGCACAAAAATAAATGCTTTAAAATGTGTGTTTGCCACCGCGCTAATACGTGACGTCATTTACTGCGACGAAATTTCAATTTTTAGAAAATAAGGTGTAAGTTCCTCTTTTTGAGGCAAAAAAACACACGTTTGTGAGTAAAACATAAGTAAAATAAAAAACGTACAAGGATACAAATTAAAATTCTTATAAGCATACAATTAAACAATTTTTAGCTGCTATGACTAAACTGAGTGTGTAAAATTCCTGCACAGTATAAAAACAATTTTTAAACAAATGTATAAAATTTTTTATTAGAATAGCCCGAATGGCCCCTTGAGACTGCATAACATAAACGCGAATGAAAGAAGGCAAAGAGTTTTACATCTAACCATAAGTTTTAACTGCCGAAGTAAAGGGCAGGGTATTGTTAATCTGATTATGTCAAAAATTTAAAGGGGTGAACAAGGAGCAGAAACAGTTAACTGATGCCACAAACTTGTATCGGAAGTTTAAGGTCATAGACAAAAAAGCTAATCAAAAATGTGTTTGAAACTGTTTTGGAACTGCTGAAATACATGTATTTTATCGCGGCGACTACTTACAAAAAATTTTACGTGTTTGTAGGTTTCTTATGAGGTCGGACTGTATTCGAACGTCAGTTTGTAATACATTGTTTTAGTGATTGCTGTGCTGTTTTTCGAGGATATTAGTAGCCGCATTTCTCAGTTTTCTTTTGAAAATGGCGCATTTACTTAGCAATCGCGAATATTATGATATGCTCACGAAAATGACCATAGAGCTTGTCAAGTATATCGTGTAATATATTCTGAACGACGTACCCCCACACCGCGAACATTTATTGCTATAGTGTAAAGAGTAGGGCGACCAATAAGAATCTTAAATATCGAGGAGATGATTTTAGATATCCTTGAGAAATATCACACAGCAAGTAAATATTTCGCATCGTGTTGTATGGCGGACATTAAGAGCTCAGTTGTACCCATTTTTATTTAAGTGTTCAAGAGCTTACTCCTGAGGTTTCCACTACGTCGAGGTTTTGCGAATACTTGCTTCAGGAACATGCTAGAACTTCTCAATTTACAGCGCAAATACTTGTTACAGATGAAGCATGTATTAGTCGAAATGGTGTACGAAACGTCCACAACACTCACCACTGGACTATCGAAAATCCACACGAAATACGTCGCAATGCCTTTTAGCAACAGTTTTCAGTAAACATGTGGGAAGGTATCGTTAATGACACTTTAATAGGACCTTTTGAATTACCTAGAGTAGGGTATTTTAGCCGGTAGGCAGTCTCCCCCCTCCACTTTCGTACTTGAGATGACCTTGAGGCTGAAAGCCGAAGGAGATGGGCGTAGGTTGGTGACTTTCATTTGACCTTTGCATTGCAGTTAATCTTAAAATTAGATTTGTATGGTATGTGGGAGAGGAGGAATTTTACATGAGAAGATGACCTTCATTTGACTTACGTTTTAAACATTGCAGTTAACCTTGAAATTACATTTGTCTACTTAGGAATACTGTTATATAGAAGATTGTTATATGACATTCATTTGAAATATGTCTTAAAAAGTACGATAGCATGACTTCTTCATTTATTGTCATTACTCTTCGTTTTTTTCTGCATTCGTTAAATTCGGCGAACACTTTTTCGTAATGTTTCCTGGATTTCGCTGTCAATAAATGGAAAATTGCTTCTTGGGTTTCTTCAAAAACAGCCACAGGAACACAATTACTTTCTTGCATTTTTACCAAATTCAGATAAATCTGTTTATTAAATAACTGATAATAAACAACCTGTCATAGCAACTAGTAGGTATAACGAAACCTACCACGTTTCATTGACTACTAGTAAGGAACATCAACTGGTACGAATATTTTTTTATTAAATTCCAATAATTCTGACTCCACAAATATGATTGTGATGTGATTATGTATAAAAAGTTGTATTGCATTCGTGTTTTAATTGCCTTTTATCCAATTAAGAATATTAAAGGCTAGAACTACGTTCTCGCGTTTAAACATTCTTGCGTAGATAAAATGCTACTTAAAACACTTACATAATAAATAACTACTATATCCATGGAACATTCACCAAGAATCAGAATTTCTATGATTTGATATTTTGCAACTGAAATAAAACAATTAATAAAATGATTTGTGTTGGTTTTCTCAGAATTCTTCTCTAATTTTTAAAGTTATGGTTTTTAAAGAATACCAAACATAGATAATTTCAACTAATACATGATTATCAGATAATTTTATGATATTTGGAATGAAGTTGAAAAGAGAAATAATGTTAAAGTTTTGGTTGCTTTACATTTCATTGTTTTTTGAATGAAAGGATAATTATTTGTCCTTTATTGTGCTTGCAGTTAATAATAGTAGCATCCCATTGGAAGAAAATATTAGGGTTGCTGGGTCGGGACGGTTTGAACCACATGGAGCAGTTTTTGGGGACGAAGACAGGAAAATTGGAAATATAATAATAATAATAAAAAATCAGTACCTGCA